CGCTTGAGGTATGGCAAGGACCAGGTCCCACACTTCAGCGGCTGCTCGAAGTCAACTTCGGCTCCTTGATGTAGTGCTTGGAAGGCAAGTAGCACACAAGCCCGGGTGACCTTGTCATTATTTCGGCGCTTGTGCTCCAGACGCTCTCGTTGATCTTCGGTCCTCTGGTTAGCGTTCTGGATGATCGATCTGGCCGTGCACGGTGGCGAAAATACGACCCTTCTCGGATTCTCTAGCTTCAGCGTCTCAGAAGCCCTTCTGTAGCCAGTGTTGGTCGTTAGGTCGTACTCGTTGTGCTTCCCGAGCCTGAGGGCGGTGCCGCCGAGCTTCTCGACCTCAACTCCGAGCGGGGAGTTTGGGGGGGCACATACCTCCAGCAGGTCCAGCTGCCCAAGTCGAAGTAGATCTTGAGCGTCCTTGGCCGCTGCCGTCTCGAACTCCGCGATCTTCTGGTTGAGCAAGTAGATCTGCGTGGCGTTGAGCGTCTTCACCTGACCAGCCGCAGCGCAGCCCGGATCGTCCTCCGCTGTAGCGTCCGGACCTCCCTGTCCAGCGTCAGGTTGGTCAGCTTCAGCCAGTTGTCTAAGCTGTTGATCTCGTCGAGGAGCGCCCAGTGGTCCTCCGGCACTGGTGTGTCCTCGGTCTCCTGCTTCATCCTCTCCATGTGCTCGGTCAGGGTCTCCTTCGCCGGATCCCAGGTCGGAAACTGCATGTTGGTCTGCATCACCGTGTCCAGGTCGATCGTCTCGTGGACTGTCTCCACCTCTTCCTCCTTCACCGTCGCCTTCTTCGGAGGTGGTGCCTTGCATGCTGCCGGGCACGCCTTCGGCCTCGGCGCGTGGTAGACCGCTCTCGGCGGCGAAGGTGAGCTCAAAGTTGCTCTCGGAGGTGGTGGTGGTCTCGGACTCGCTGTCGTCGGATCCTCCTTCTTGGCCGCTGAGCCCGAAGACGCTGGCCCAGAACTCGACGTCTCCGCGCGGATCCTCAGACACACATGGCTGCGCCCGCCCACACAGCTGCAGCCCGCTCTGCGCCTCCCAGGCGCTCCGCAGCACGCGCACTTGATGCTGTCGTACTGCCTCTTGATGTCGCCAGCGTCGGTCTCCTCTTCTTTCTTGGGGTTGTAGGGCTTGATCAGCGGCGGCTGGCCGCACGGAAGTCGTCCCTGACACTGGTGACTGCGGCCGCCCGTGCATGGGCATCCGGCCGTCGCGGTCCCCGGAACTCCGCAGCAGCCGCACCTTGTACTCGTCAAGGCCGTCGAAGTAGCGAAGACCTCCGAGGGTGGCGATGAGCCACGTGAGCTTCTGCCACCGCATGCTGATCGCATCCACTGGCTGATATGGAATAGAAAGCTGGTCTGAGTCGAGAGCCTTAGCTCGATCACCGTCTTGAGCCCAAGAAACTTCGGAAGCATCGGAAATCAGAGCATCATGTGTGACAACTTCTCTCCATTCAGCGTGTGGCCCGAAATCTATAAGAAGATGCCCGCACCTGGATCTTTCTAGAAGGTAGGTCTTACTGCCCAAAGCCTTAAACCTGATAGTGCCGAGCTCGAAGTCAACGATCACTCCGAAATGCTTCAGGAAATCCATACCTATCAAAAGCGGGGCCTCCACTTCCACAACTGAAACTGGAAAGTCACACTCTTGGCCGTCGACATATCCTGGAATACTTGCGTGATTCAGGGACTTAGCCTTCTGGTTATTCCCGAAAGTAAACTCGATTCGGGGTCCAGGAACTATCTTCATACGGTTCTGGCCTACAATCTTCATCATCGTGGCTTGCCAGATCTCCGCCGTATCTAAACCTATCATGGATGAGGTAGCCCCAGAGTCCAAGATGCCCTTGAAAGTCCCCGAGAGCTGTGAGGCCATAAATATGCACTGCTCGAAAACCACATATACTCGATGAGACTCTCTTCTGGAAGCCCTTGGCTTGATAGTCTTGAACCTTCTTTTCTGGATCTTCGGGGCCCTCCTGGAACTTGGACGCCTAGTCCTTGACAAAAGCTTCCGAAACCTCAAGAATCTTCTGGAACTCCTGGGTGTTTGTATTCGGATTCTCGTCGGTCTCGGTCGTGCTGCTGTCGATCGCGGTCGTGCTGTAGTCGATCGCGGTCATGATGCTGTCGATCGCGGTCGTGCTGTAGTCGATCGCGGTCGTGATGTAGTCGATCGCGGTCGTGATGCTGATGACGATAGATGCTTGTAGCTACGTCCAGCCTGCAGCTTGGCTGGTGCCTTGCAGTTCTTAGCTATGTGGCCGCGGCCGCCGCACCTCAGGCATATGGTGTTGGGGTCCGTCTTCCACGAGTCGTCCCTCTTCTGGTGGTGGCCTCCGCCTCCGGGCGAGCTCTTGGCCGAAGTCGACGTCTTGCCTGCCCCCTTGGCCGGCTGTCCGCCTTTCTTCTGCCCGAACTGGCCTCCGAAGAACTTCCGCCCGGTCTTCTTCTGGCGCAGCAGCTCGCGGGCCTGCTTGAAGGACCGCTGCCCTTGTTGAGCAGCAGCAAAAACAGCACCCTCGAGCAGCTCATCTCGTAGCTCTTGGTCGTCACCTGCTTGGTCGTAGATCTCCCGGATCTGGCTGGTGAACTCGTCCTCCTCTGCCGCCAGCGCTGTCGCGTTCTCGCTGTGCTGGTCGCCCTCTTCATCCTCGTCGTCCTCTTCCGAGTAGTCCTCGTCGCCCTCGGCCGCGTAGTTCTTGCTACGCCCCTGCCACGGTGGCCTGCCGCCACGCATGTTGTTGTGGTCGCGTTCGTGCTTCTTGTCGAACTGCATGCCAAGGGCTTGCTGGATGGTCTGGTACGTGTATTTGTTCTGCACAGAGGCCAGCACCTGCGAGCGCTCGTGGTCGTCGAGGCCAGCGTTCTCTAGTAGAAACCATGCTCGGAGCGGCTCCGGAAATATCGGCTTCTTCTCGTCGAAATCCTTGTCGATGGCCTTTATCGCTTTCTGCATCCGGTCCTCTTCGACCTCGAACTGCGTCAGGTAGTCTCTCATGCTGGTCCGGTTCTCCCGGTAGGTCTCCTTCATGAAGGTCCGCATGTACTTGCCAGCGTCCTCTACCTCCAGGATGCCGCTCTTCTCCCTGAGATACTGGATCAACTGGCTAACTCCTTTCGGCAACTTGGTCGTCGCATCTTCCTCTAGGTCGTCCAGGCTGCCCAGCTTGTCGTACTTCTGTACTCCCTGCCAAGCGCGTCCCTGGAGCTTCGCCATCAGTCTGGGCCCGCAGAGGCCCTTCTCGTCCTTCTTGGTCCCGCGCACATACAGCTTCACTCGCATCACGTAGGAGTCGAAACTGGCAACATCTCCGTCCCAAGAAGGTACGGTCTCGTGCTTCTCAGCTTCGGTCGTCATGACGAGCCGGTCCGTGGAGCCAGACCGGCTCCGCTACCAACTAAATCGTCGGCACTGGCGTAAGCCTGCTGATGATCTTCTCGTAAATGATTATCTTGATAATCTTTTCCTCCACAGCTCGCGCCAGCGACACAACAATCTGTAAGATATCTCGCTAGCCCCTGGTGGGCTGAAACAGTCACTCACTTGGTAAGTGTGTGGCCAGTCGGCCGCGCCCGGTAGCCTTACCGGGACTCAAGGGCGCCCTCGGACCGAAACAGCAGCAGCAGTCGCTCGGTCTCGGGGCGTCTCGGATCGGAAGGCCAACTGCACTGTACAAAACACACTCCCCTCCCCTCCCCCCTCCTCCCCTCGTCTCCCCCCCCTCCTTCCTCCCGCTCTCCGCGCATCTTGCTCCCTCCCTGCAGACCTCCTGCCTCCCGTGCGCCCCCTCGCCTCCCCCCCCCTCCCCTGACCTTCCCGGAGGGCGAAACACCAGCACCGGGGGCACCGGCGTCCTGATCCCCGTCGAGGTCTGAGGCAGTCCAGACAGATCCGTAGGTCTGGAGTGTTATCTTTGAGCACTCCGGAAGGGTCAGGGCCTGGCCCCCTCTTCCCTCGAGTGCCTCTCGGATCGCACAGGCGCGAAGGGACCCGCGAGAAGACGTGCGCGCCCGGCCGCGCACGCGGGCACGACCACCCGAGTCCGCGAGGCCAGCCTCGCGGAAAGAACGTTCGCGCAGCCCATGCTCTCGACACCCCTGAAACAGCATGCGCACGCGCGTCTTTCTTTCGCTGCTGACCTGCAGGGAGAAACGACACGTCGGGGGCCCGTGCCTCGCCCTTGGAGGGCTGGGGGACGGAGCATGGAACAGCACGACATGAACAGCGATCGGGGAGGCAGTAGGGACCTCCTCCTCCTCCTCCTCCTCCTCCTCCTCCTCCTCCTCCTCTGGACCCTTTGGAAGACAGGGGGCGGATGATGGAGGCGGGGGTAACGAGGAACAAACAACATCAAACAACCCCTTCCCCGGATCTGGCTTTCCGCCCTGAGTAATTATTATATGGTCCGCGCGGCCCACAACGACCCCATCGGGCCGAAATCAAGGAAGAACGCCCGTCGTGATCTGTTCGTGATGCCGGAAGTGTGGAAGGAGTGGGGGGGGAGGAGGAGGAGGAGCGCCACTGCCAAAGAAAGAGAGGGCGGACAAGAGAGGGACGAGACGAGACAGGAAGAAGCCCGTCCAGGGGCAAGAGAAGTCCGCATCCCCTCAGAGGGGGCTTTGGGGAGGCCCAGAAGAAGACGCCAGGCGAGACGGAAGGAGGCAGGGCGGCCCTGGGCGGCCAGCAGGCCACTGAGGGAGAGACCGCATCATGTCAGATGGAACGCCCTTCCGCCGTCGGAGGACCCTTGATCGAGCAGCCAGGGCCTCGCGGAGGTGTCGGGGGCCGCGTCTGCCTGAAATTCGACAATAATTATATGCTTTGAAAGCGAGATCGACGGCCATTGCATGGGCCAGGATCGAGTGGGAAGAGCTCAACACCCACTGGTCGGGAAGAGGAGGAGGAGGAGGAGGAGGAGGAGGAGGAGGAGGAACGAGAAGGGAGGAAGAGGCGCCTGCGGATTCCACACGTGCAGCCTGTAGTGCGTCGGCGCGCTCAAGCCTCGGACACTCTCTCTCCCGACCGCGAGCGCGCGCTGTGCCACCCACCTGCGATCTCCACTCCTCTCGCCGCCCCATCTCCTCCCTTCTTAGAGGGGCAAGAACGAAGGGGCCCAAGGACACACAAATAAATACACACACAAATAACAGGATTCCCGATGAGTTTTTTTTTGTTTGATCTTCGTCTTACCCCCACTTCCCATATTTTCCAATATTTTCCTTGGAATCGACGATCAATGGTGTCTGTGTGTTGCTTTCCCTCCTGAAGCAAACGGCATAAGCATAACCTTTTGACGGTCCGCGCAAATATCTTGGGTCTGCGCTGAGCGCTGGCACCCCCCTTCCCGGCGCGCGGAGCGCGCCAGGGGCGGCGCCGGAGGCGCCACCAGGGGCGCGCATCGCAGATCCAAGACATCCGCGAGGACTGGCACAAGGTTCTGTGTATGCCGCTCTTCGATTCTTCGACTTCTCCATCTACAGTGGAGGCCAGTCCACAAGAAACCCTCCACTAGAAACTCAACCCTGAGACCCCAGGGCGTCTATTGATTTTTGGTGTGGGAGCGTCACGCTTTCCATGGCAAAACAATCGAAACCCAAGAAACTAAGGGCACCCTGGAGGCAAGCAAGGTGTTTCTTGGCATGGGTCTCCACTGTATGCCGTTGTTCGAATATTCGACTTCTACATCAAATTATCCAGAGGTGGAGTGACAGTACGAGTCACACTTAGTCAGGCCGAAAGGAATCAACAAGCACCGCCCGCCCCAACCCACGCTCCCGTGCGGCTCTCTGCGTGACCTCCTCCCTCCAGCTGCGGGAGAGCGCGAGGATGTCAATCTCATGCTGTTCCCGTCCCCTTTTGCTCAAGGATCGACCTAAACTGTGTTTTTCGTTTTCGCTTTGTCTTCGTTTTCCCTTGTTTTGTGCCCAATCCACATTTGCTGCAAAACAGAATCGGAACGAAAACGGCCCATGAAATCGCCAAAACACCGTTTAGGTCGACCCCTGCTTTTGCTGAAGCGGCCCCCAACATGGGGAAATCAACATGTACCGATACCGCTGCTCCCTGGACCTCCCCCTGGGTGCGTTGTGACCAGGGTTTCGAGGCGAATCCCGCGGAGGCGACGAGGACCTCTCAGGAGGCCCCACAAAGACGAGAACGAGGCAAGGGCGGCGGTTTCTGTGCCTTTTCCTCCTCTGACAGCAGTCGCTTGCACAGGCGGCGGACAGACTGTCACACAGGAGCGGCCCACCCCATGCGTTTGAGCATCTGCTGACACGCGCGATGGCGCAAGCCCCAAATACAGTAAGCAGCGCCTGCATTGACTCGGCTCCATCCGCCAGCGACCACGCCGCCAGGGGGGGCCCGCCCTGCTCTCGGCGCATCAGCAGCTCTGGGTAGGCACGCTGTGAGCAGCGGCTGGCGTCCGCCAAGAAGCCGCAGGCAGCGAGACGCGGCGGGGCACGACCCGCAGCCTGGCCTCAAAGTGTTGCCCAAGTGAGCCTGGGATCCCCTTCCTCCTGGCAGAGTGGGCAAACACGGAATCATCAATGCATGCCTGCAGTAAACACAACATTCGGCGAACGTGGTCAGGGTGAGAACAGCCCTGGAGGAGGAGGGCCAGGAGAAGGAGGAGGAGAGCCAATGATAGTCTTGAAGTAATGGTATGACGACGACGGAGGAAACACATGTCCAAGCCAACGGGAGAAGAGGCAGAGCAGTCAGTGTGGATGGCACTTCTATGAGAGCCCCTCCATGGACAAGCAGATAAATGTCGCGGGGGGTGGGGGTGGGCGAGGGATGAATACATGTAACTCATTGTCCTATTTTCCACTCTGGACTGGGGAGTTGGCTATGTTCCCATTGTGAGTGGGGTCTGACGCGTCCCAAGAGATCCAGAAGCTAGCCGAGTTGTGCATGCCCCCTACTGCCGCTGCCAAGAGACGCGAGTGATGCAGCCGAACAGTTTGGGACTCTGGCCAAATTTCTCAGCAGAGCTCTGCAATCCCAGAGGAACAGCAACACCCCCAAGTGATGGTGCAGGGCGACTCTTCTCATCGCTACGCGATCACGTCCCCCTCCCCCTCCCCCTCCCCCTCCCCTCCTCCTCCTCCTCCTCCTCCTCCTCCTCCTCCTCCTCCTCCTCCTCCTCCTCCTGCTCCTGCTCCTGCTCCTGCTCCTGCTCCTGCTCCTGCTCCTGCTCTCCTCCTCCTCCTCCTCCTCCTCCTCCTCCTCCTCCTCCTCCTCCTCCTCCTCCTCCTCCTCCTCCTCCTCCCTCCTCCTCCTCCCTCCCCTCCTCCCTCCTCCTCCTCCTCCTCCCTCCCTCCTCCCTCCTCCCTCCTCCCTCCTCCTCCTCCTCCTCCCTCCTCTCCTCCTCCTCCTCCTCCTCCTCCTCTCCTCCTCCTCCTCCTCCTCCTCCTCCTCCTCCTCCTCCTCCTCCTCCTCTCCTCCTCCTCCTCCTCCCTCCTCCTCCTCCTCCTCCTCCTCCTCCTCCTCCTCCTCCTCCTCCTCCTCCTCCTCCTCCTCCTCTCCTCCTCCTCCCCCCCCCTCCTCCTCCCCCCCCCCTCCTCCTCACTCATCTTGGACACCCCAGATGGGGACGGAAAGAACGGGGACAACGCTCAATAGCCAAAGCCGTGCAAAACAGACAGCGGCCGCCGTTGTGCGGGCGCTCCTCGGCTCGAGCGGACAAAGGCTCGCGACGAAGGCCGACTGCGACTCCTGTCGAGAGTGGGTGCGGGCTGCTGCCCTGGAGGCCGCCCGGATGGAGCCAGAGTGCAGTCGAAGAGTGGCCGCAAGAGAGCAGGCTCAGAGTACGAGCCCCTTCGCCCACGGCGCCGCGGGGATACCCCACGTGAAGAGCCTTCCACGATGGAAGCCAAACCACGAAGAATAAAAAGGTACCCCTCCAAAGCCTGGGCTGCTATTGCGTGACCCTCGTGCCAGCCATGCGGCAAATCCGTGCCGTGACTACCTGCGCGCTGCTTCCTGACACCGTGTGGACCGCCGGTCAGCCTCGAACGACCTCGGCTTCACGACAGCGAACACCCTTCGATACCCCGGTGGTTCAAAGATGAGGTCCTGAGGGATGGGGTCCTAAGGATAGGAAGGGATCCAAGAATGAATTCGCATTGTTCGAGGCACCTCGTCCGTATTTGGACGCCCAAACTGGGTACGGAGAAGACGGGTACAATGCCCAACAACAAATGCCGTCCAAAACAGACAGCGGTCGCTGTCGGGCGGGCGGCTTCTTGTCTTCAGTGAACCACGTCCGCGGCGGCGCGGGCGTCCTGTTCAAAATGATCGGTGACCGCTGATGTGCATCGTACCCCCTCTTTCCATACCCCTTTCGATCGTCCCGACCGTAGGGTTAAGTCGGGCCTGTCCCCCTACATGGGGATTTTGGACGAAACATAGGAATAAGTGAAACAAGATGTTAACATGTGCAACAATGGTAAACAAAAATAGCCCCCAGACCACTGCTTGACTATCTTTGAATTTCCCTACTGTAGAGGGAAGAGGCCCGACTTCACCGCAGGGCCCCGTCCCTCGGGACCTCCTCCTCTTTGAGCCACCGCATGCCGGCCGCTCCCAGGCCGGCGGCTTCCACCAACGGTTGGCGCCCGTGCCTGCGGTCGCCGCCGCCTCCTCCCGGGCAGCGCTCGCCGACGGCCCCGGGGCCCAGAGAGCCAGGCCTATCCGGAGAGGCCTCGGACAGTGTACACCCTGCGAAGTGCTTAAGAAATCATGGGTTAAGAAATTCATAGTCTCAGAAGTTGAATAAAAGCCGAACAGTTCTATTAACATCGAAAGATTTACATCGAAACGTTAAGAATAATCGAGACTCTGGCCGAAAACTTAAGTTTTCTTAAGCATCGCCTAAGGTGTAGATCGGAGGTGGATGGCCGGAAGTTATATCTTTGTGGCCTCCTCTGGGCTTTGCAGAGTTGCCCGCCTCGGGAGAGGTTGGGTTCGCCAGGTCGCTGGGCAGAGTGCCCGCTGGTGGAGTCCCCGCCAGGGGTTCGCTGACCAGGGGTCCAAGAGGTCTCAGGATCGGGGGTGGAGATAGGCCGCCTACCCTGACACGTCGATTAAGGAATTGGCCGTTTTTCGGTTCGCGAGGGGGCGTCGCGGCCGTCAATTTTGCGGGTCCAGGTCCGTCGGTTTCGGTCCCAGGCCGTTTTCACTAATGGGAGGTTTACTAAAGGGAGGTTTGTCCACCGCCGAGAAAACCCCGACGCCTTAGGTCAGGCGTGTGCTCCTGCAGGCGGATTTTCGACGAGAAATTCTAAAAAGCCAAGTAACGCCGAAGAACCGCCAAAGCAGAAGAGCAGGCAAACCCGTGGCTTTATGTTGCTCCCATCGTAATTAACGACCACATCCCGGAAACAATTTCTAGGGTGCCCACAAACGATGTACGCCCCCACAATGTACATGAACACGGCCCCTCGATCATCGAGACCACACGCGTGATACGAACATCCGCGCAATGCGTACTCTCGAAACCAGCGTGGATTCATGTACGTGTACGTCCTTCTTTCGCTCCTGATTATTATTCGGATGTTGCTAGAAGTACCCCTGGCCCAAGGTACCCTCAGGATTCTCAAGGTGGCCCAGACGGCCTCCAGGGCACCCCCCATGAGGCCCAGGTGGCCCCAGGGGCTCCAAAATAGTGCGAAAAGCCGGGGGCACCTTGGGCCAGGGGCACTTCAAGCAACACTCGATTTATGTTGCTCCCATCGTACTTAAGGACCACATCCCGGAAACAATTTCGAGCACCCAGAAAAGTATTGGAAAAGTGTCGAACGAGTATCGCCTCCCAAGGCCCGACACGTGAAAACCCTCCAATTTCGGAACTTTCTTGATGCTCAGAATTCTTTTCTGGTGATCAAGACTACAATAGGTTCGAACATCATAACCGTGGCTGTCAAAACGGTCTTCCCGGAACAAACAAAAAACACATTCCCGGAATAAAGCTCCTCCACAGAAGACTAGAGAACAATGTCCCGCAGCTCCTTATGGAAAGCCGCCAGGAATCGACAAGAGAAATCCGAAGACCTCGAACCCAGAACTCCGACGTCGTGATTTTCCATGACGCGCCCGAAGATGAGGAGGAGGAGGAGGAGGAAGATGAGGAGGAAGAGGAGGAACCCGAATGGTCGTTCTTTTTGTTCTTTCCCGGGTGACGGTCGTTACCCATGGGGGGTGACGGCGGCCGTGGCGTGCACCTGCCAGGGTGCGCCCGCGCCACAGGCGCATCGATCGTCTGTGTGCGCCATAGCATGTACGTAGGGGGGAGCGGGGGGGGGTCCACGGCAGGGTTTCAGGGGCGCGCAAGCATGGATTAGCGGTCCATGGACTTGGCGCAGGGTCGCCAAATCCATGGATCGGAGGTGCCCTCCCCCAAATGCGGCCAGTGCTGCTAGTCCCAGACCCCCGGCGTCATGATTTTGTAACTACGTCGACCCCTGGGGCCTCGACCCATTCCCCTGGACCGGTCTTTCATCCTGAGTCGTTTTTTGACGGCCTCGCGGGCGGGCAAGGGCCCCCAAAGGCCGAAAATAGCAAAAACTCCCGCCATGATTTTTTCACTGCCCGAGGGCGTCTGGGATCCACGCCCCCTTGATCCATGCTTGCGATCGCCTGAATCACGATGAGCATCGTTTAAACCGATCCCCATCCCCAGCGGCGTGGCCTGGGCCCCACTGGCCGATTACCCCCCTAGGTGGAGATGTAGGCCGTTCCCTTCGGGTTTCAAGGGGTGTATCGCCAACTGGGGTGGTAATTCGATGGGGCGTCTCGAAGGGGATGAGGATGGGGATGGGTTGAGCAGGGACCGACCGTCCCAGCATTCCTACAGTCCTACCACGAAATGTTCCTAAACCCAAATATGTTCGAAAAACAAAATCAATGTTCTCAGAACACAAGCCCGATGTGTTCAAACAGGACAGCCCCAGCCAGAAGTGCTCTGAGAACACTTCGTGGAAGCCACAGAAGATCCTTAGAACACTGCTTGGTGGGGCTACAGGCGAGCCAGGACGCTTCGCCACTGCTTGAGGATGGGGGTCGGTCAAACTGAAGGGGCCCAAGAACACACAAATAAATACACACAAATAAAATGATTCCCTATATTTTCCCATATTTTCTGGGTTTTTATCTTCCCGCCCAATTCCTATATTTTCCCATATTTTCCTGGGAATCGACGATTAATTGTGTCTGTGTGTTTTTTTCCCTCCTGAACTCACACGAGCCGGCGAGGGCAGGGCCCGGACTTCGCCGCCGAAGCCAGGCGCGCCCCCCCCCCGCGGAGCTCCGGGGCACGAGGCGCTGAGGCCGGCGCGCGCGCCGCACGCCACGAAGGCGAAGTCCGCGGGCCCCCGCCGGGGGCGGGCTGCTGCAGCCAGGGGCCCTCCGCTCCAGAGGAGGAGGAGGAGGAGGAGGAGGAGGAGGAGGAGGAGGAGGAGGGGGAGGAGGAGGAGGAGGAGGGGGAGGAGGAGGAGGAGGAGGAGAAGGACCAGGAGCTGGAGGAGGAGGAGGAGGAGGAGGAGGAGGAGGAGGAGGAGGAGGAGGAGGCGGAGGCAGGCCCCAGCTGAAGCGCATCTCGAGACCGGATCGGATCGGGAACGGGTCCCCTCACCAGCGGCCCGCCCCGAAGGAGAGACTCTGGCTCCCCCCCCAGGACGCGGACGGGGACGCTGCCACGTCTTCTTCTCGGTCTCTCAAGGAAGGTCTGCTTCGGGCGCCCTGGGGCACACTGATCATTCGGCCCCAGACGACGGGCCGGCCGCTCCACGGAAGGGCCAAGGGGTCTGGCAGGCCTGAGCTGAAGCGAATTGCGAAGCCGGATCAGATCGGAAACGGATCAGACCACCAGCGAATCGTCCCGAACTGCTTCCGCGCCGCGGACATATGAAACGGACATCTGATCGCCGCGCCTGCTTCCGGCCGAACCCCCAACCGATGCCGGCGAAACGAGCCGAATCGAGTCGAAGCGGAGTGGCGGCCTCAGCCAGCGAATCGAATCGAATCGAATCGGATTGTAGGCGGCCCAAGCGTGAAAACGTCCGGTGTGGAACCATTGCGGCGACCCGATCTCAGGGAAACCGAGGATCGGGGTCCTTGGGCGAGTCGCGGCTGCCTGCCTCGGGAACTCGAGACCAGGGGTGGGGGAGGGAGGGGGGGGAGCGCGGGAAAGAGAAGGGGAGGCAGGAGAAGAGTGAGGATAATGATGATGAGGAGGAGGAGGAAGAGGAGGAGGAAGGTATGGAGATAAAGGGGGAAAGACGGAGAAGGACTCCCTTCCGCAGCCGCCGACTCCTCGATCCGTCTCTCCCTCCTCCTCCTCCGCCTCCTCCTCCTCCGCCTTCTCCATCCCCCTTCCTTGAAAAGAATCCCCTCCGTCGCATTACTAGACGCGTCCGCGGGGCCAGGCGCTTCGATCGAAACATCCAAATATTTTACAGTCCTGTATCGCAGCAAGTCCAACACTTACAACTAATCAGGACGGGTGGTTTTCAAAATGCGGCTCTGGCTTCATACGCAGTCAAATTGTACAACCATAGCTTCATCATTGTGCAACAACTGCACGGATGGTGAGGCATACTCGTTCCCAATGTTTGCAAGTCAGTGATTATCTGCGTCGCTCCTTCTCTATTTCTCCTTTTTTATTCTCATCTATCCGTATGTGTCCTTCTCTGTTTCTAATTCTCTCCGACTCTCGTTCTCGTCTTTTCCCATCTCTCTTTATTTACGTATTATTCCTCTCTCTCTCTCGCGCTCTCGCGCTCTCTCTCTCTCTCACTCTCTGCCTCTCGCTCTCTCTCTCTCTCTCTCTCTCCCTCTCTCTCCCCTCCACATCCCTCCCCGCACTCACCTGCAACATTGCATAAGGCTGGGTCAAGAAATGAGCAGGTGAGGCGCCGCACAGCGCTGTTCGATACCAGAAGCGTGGCCGAAGCCCCTCCTTGATGTTGAGCGAGTATCGGTGCTTCAGATCCTGCGGCAGTAAGGCTACGCAAAGCGCTCTCTAATACCAGAAGCGTGGACAAGCCATCTCGTGGATTATGAGCGAGTGTAAACGTGCCTCAGATCCTCCAGCTCGGGATAACGCAGAAACGACCTTTCCTGGTGCGTGTCTAGACATGTACTACATACCTGTAGGCGTGTATCACTGATGCGATGCGTCGATGGGGGAGAGGGACAGGGATGGGGACAACGGGCGGGAGAGGGCAGCGACCAATCATAAGAAATGCCCTAACATATTTGCAACTAGAGCTGTGGTTAGGTGCGTCCTTCTCCTCCTCTTCACCTATCTTCCTCCATCTCAAACCCCCTAGTTCTCTTCCGTCGTTGTCCTGCTCCTCCTCCTCCTCCTCCTCCCCCCTTCTCCCCTTCTCCAATCCTCCTGGTTCTGGTCGTCGTCGGAATCGTCGTCATCCTCATCTTCCCTCCCTCCTGCCATCGTCCCTCCTCTCAACCTTATCGTCTCCTCATTCCCGCTCCTCCTCCCCCTTCTCCTTGCCCCCCCTCTCTCCCGCCCTCCTCCTTCTTCTGAATCCCGTCTTCCGCCACATCTCCCACCCCCCATTGCTCCCACCTCCTCTGTCCCTCCTCCCACCAACTTCCTCCTCCTTCTTCTCCTCCCCCCACTCCTAATCCCTCCACCCCTCCGCCCTGCCACCCTCCTCCTCAGCCTGCTCCCTCAGCCACGTCCACGTTCACTTCCACGCCCACCTTCACCTCTTCCCCTTTCGGGGGTTGCTAAAGGTGCCCCTGGGGCCCTCTGGGCCTCGTGAGGTGTACTCTGGAGGCCGTGGGGGCCTCCTTGGAAATCCTGGCGACATGTTGGTTCAGGGGCACTTCTGGCAACACCCGGCCCGGGACCCTGAAGAAACGACTCAGGATGAAAAGCCGGCTCTGGGGAGGTTGTCCAGACGTCAAAGGGTCCACGCGTCGACAAAATGGAGCGCCCAGTGTCCGGGGAGGAGAGGCTCTGCCCTGTGGGCCGGAGCGCACCCCGAGGGCGCGGCGAGGCGACTGTGTCGCCGCCGCCGCGATTGCTCCTCCGTCGCCGCCGCCCTGTCTACCCAAACCCCCGACGTCATGATTGTTCCAGTACGTCTGCCCCAGGAGGTCTCGACCCATGCCCCTGGACCGGCTTTCCATCCTGAGTCGTTGTTTGACGGTCTCGAGTCGAGGGCCGAGGGGGCACGTGGCATGGTTTGGTTTTGCCTGGAAGCGAAAACGGGGGAGGTGATTTGCCCTCTGAGCGAGGGCCCCCAGAGGCCCAAAACAGCAGAAAGCCTTCCGCCATGACCTGTTCACCGCCCGAGGGGGCCTGGGTCCCTCGCCCCCTGTGCAGCAGCAGCGCCAGGACACCTCGGCCGTGGCTGCTCGCCGACGAGCCCAGGGCGCACCGCGCGCCGCGGGCCCCTGGCGGCCGTCGACGCGGCGCGCGCGCGCGAGGCGGGAGGGACAACCTGGAGCGCGTTTTCTCTACTTTCTGCGGTAGTGGGCATTCTATTGGGGGGTACACCACGCGAAATGGTTAAGAAATCATGGGTTAAGAAATTCATGGTCTCAGAACTTGAGTAAAAACCCACAATTTCTATCAAAATCTTAGGATTTACATTGAAACGTTAAGAATAATCGAGACTCTGGCCGAAAGCTGAAGTTTTCTTAAGCATCGCCTAAGGTGTAGGGGGCCCGGGGGGGGGATGTAATGTGACGCCCCCCCCCCCCCGCCGTGTGCCCGATGCGCACGGCGGCGGTGCCCGGAGCGCACTGGGGGGGGGGGAGTGGCGTTACGGTAAAGCGGGGGGGGAGCCGGGGCCTTTCATGCCCACTATGTCCCAAACAATAAGGAAACTCGCTCCTGGGGGAGGGGCCAAACGGCCGGCCACCAACTGCAACGAGGCAGGACTGGGACAGCATCGAAGCCAGGGTCGGACATCTGCCCACCCCCCAGCGGGAGCCGCGGGACAGCGGCTGCAGCCGTGCGCCTGGCAGCCAGCGCCCAGCCAAAGGGCTCGAGCAACCGCTCGGCCCTGCGCTTCGGGGCGCTCCCAGTGGACCCGCCAGGGGACGCAGGAGAAGTTCTGAAGGTCGGAACGGGTTGTGGCATAAAGGGGTGTGGTGCCAATGTTGACTCTGGAGATGCTACCTATCGTAGATCACACCTCACATCTCCATTTCCACGATTGGCACCACACCCCTTTATGCCGCACCCCTTTCCTACCTTTTGGTCGGGCATATCCCCCTACAGGCGGATTTTGGGCGAAAAATTAGACATAGTCGAAAATACACCAACTGTCAAAAATTGTCAAAAATCGTCTCAATACTATGTTTGACTATTTCTGGATTTTCCTCCTGTAGAGGGACGGACCCGACTTAATCCTACCTCCAGAGAAGTTAGACAGAGCGGGGGCTTCTGAAAGCCAGCGGGTCTGGAGAATGCTTCGGGCGCCGCGGCCGTCCCAACGCCTTTCCGAGTGTTCAGGGAGCGCGCTGGAGCGACGCTTCCTGACCGCGGGCCGGCCTGGCCCAACCCAGCGAGCGAGCGCTGGAAGATGTCGGCGGCTGAGCTGCCCGCATGACTACCTACCAGGCCACCCCAAGCTAAACCGAAGACCCGAATTTCGGGTTGGGGGGGGCGGGGTACGGGTTCTATATGTTTTGTTTCCCCATGTTCTCCCTGGAAGGCAAATTGAGGGGAAATTGAAGCCTTCGGGTCGGGTTGGGTTGGGTACGGGTTCCATATGTGTCCCCCCACTGGAAGCGGAGGGCAAATTGAAGCCTTCGGGTTGGGTTGGGGTGGTTTGGTGGGTGGTGAGCAGCCGACGCCGCCATCGCCAGCGCCACTGGGAGACGAGGCGAAACCGACCATGCCACGCACCGAGGTGTGGCCCTGTCTCGAACCCGGGGCGGGCGGGGAAGGCCGACGCCTTCAGAGAGAGAGCGTCGAGCAGCGCAGGGAGGCGGAGCGGGGAGGTCGCCGGCGACGGGGCAGTCGTCCTCCTCCCCTCAGGCCGGGCAGGTCCTCCTACGGGTGGATTTTGGGCGACCTTTTAAAAGCAGATTCGAGGAATCTGTTAAAAAACAAGTCAAACATGGTCGAACAATCGTCCCCAGATTCTGTGGACTATTTTTGAACTGTCCTCCTGTAAGGACACGCCCGACTGAATCCTCCCCCCTCTGTGTCGCATCCCCCTCCCGCTGCGCGCAGCCCTCTTGGGCCGCGCATCTCCGCCTCGAGTGCTGCCCCCCTGCCCTCCAGGCACGGCCCACGATGCCAGCGCTGCGCGCAGGATGCCCCCCCCGTGTGAAGATCGACGGCGACGACGAGGGGAGCGAAGAGGCGCAGAGAAACGAGGCTGCAGGAGCGGGAGTAGGAAGAGGAGGGAGGAAAACTGGTATCGCGGGTGGCCCGTTCCCGCACCTGCTCGCGATCCCGAGAGCACCAGGAAGCGTGCGCTGGCGGCCGTCCTTCCCCGTCATCTTGACCTCGTCGAACTTGGAAGACATCTGCTTCTTGTACTCGCAGTCGCCCTCGTTCCAGCCCCGCCAGGCGTCCTGTGAGCTTCCCCGCCCGCGGCGGCTCTCGCACGCGCCGCTGCACGCGCCACCGAGTGCGTGGCCGCACTCTCGAAGGACCCACTGCTCGAGTACATGCAACCCAGTCCGCAGGCGACGCTCGAAACCAAAAACAGAACTCCCAGGACCCTCGAGCCTCCAGACACAGGAGGCCAGTCGACAAGAAACCAGCCACGAGAAACCCAACCCCGAGACCCCAGGACGTCCATGGATTTTTGGTGTGGGAACGCCACCCTTTCCATGGCAAGACCATCGAAACCCAAGAAACCCAGGGCAACCTTGAGGCAAGCAGGGTGGTTCTTGGCATGGGTCTCCTCTGCAGCCGCCCCGACGGACAAAGGGAATCTCGAGGGAAGAGGATCATGACTCTGGCGACCCCCGCCCCCCTCCCAAAAACCAGCCCTCCGCCCCTGCCGCTCCTGACGGTCCTGGGCGGCTCGGGAAGGGCCTCAAGGGGCCCCGAGAGCGGCTGATGACCTCAGGCTTGGAGAAGACAGCCATGCACCGATGCCGCTGCTCCCCGGACCCTCCCCGAAGCACGCCCTGGCCAGGACACCGTGGCGACGAGGCCCCCAAACGGCGAAAGCGAGGAAGGGCCGCGGTGTCGGTGCCACTCCCTCATCTTCGGGAGCGGCCAAGAGGGGGGTGTTCAAGAGGGGGGGTGCTAATCATGACCGGCGGCACGTGCGCGGCCCAGCGGGGGGGCCAGGGACGTAATGAAACAAGAAGAGGCGCCATGAAATCTGGGAAAATATCATGGCCCTCGCCATGATATCCCCCCCCCCCCAGTCATCCCCCCCCTCTTTTCCGCCCCCGACATCTGACGGGCCCCCCTCCCCCCCATGACGAGCAACGATCGGTGGGGAGTGGCTCAGCGTAGGGGAGCATCGACGCAGACGCGGCGAGGCAGCGTCGACTGATGGGGTAAAAGCCTGGACAGCGAAACCGCGCGCTCCTGGGCGGGTGTGGCTACCTGGCCCCCATCGGCGACCAGTGGGCGATTGGGGTCGACGCGCTCTCTCTCTCTCTCTCTATCGCTTTCTCTCTCTCTCTCTATATATATGTATCTCTCTCTCTCTCTCTCTCTCCCGAACCTATCCTCAAGTCGGGCATGCCCCTCTCCAAGATGAACATCGGCAAATACTGGAAACTCGTGTTGTGGCGATGTGCCGTGCCATGTCCACAAAACACTCCCAACATAATTTTGTGTTCGTTTCTGGATACTGGCTGGGCGAACGTACGATGCACGCGGTTGGAAGACATGACGCGACGCTTGGCGCCACCACTACTTGTTTCGCCACATTTGGTGGCGGCAGCGCGCGCTATCGCGTTTGAGCAGAGGCGTGCGTCTATGTCGATGTGGCTTGTGCAGCGTGCACAGTGAAGGTCGACCGCGCGCTACCATCGTGGATCTGCGCTGCGCTGCGACTAGATTTGCGCGCAGCGTGAGTAATTCGACGAGTACCATGCGGGCAGCCGACAGTGTCCCTGCAGATTTGGACCCTTTTTTTTGTTCATTTTGTTAGGCACGTCCACAAAATCCGCCCGAACAATGTTTGTGGCCGCTGGCTTTCAAGATCTCGCTGCAACACTCCAGTCTTCCCCCTCTTTATCGCCTCGCTCCTGCGCGCCATCCTTGTGCATCCTCCCCACACTACTCCCTCTCAGCAAGGGTGGCGCGCATAGACCGGCTCTTCCCTCGTTCGGCCAATGGGTTTCGGCAATCACGCGGGGTAGACTGCGGGAGGGGCAATCCTGACCGGACAAGGAAAAAACCCTTTGATACCATCACCGAGTATATACATATAATATACATATACGTATATCTATATATGTATATAAATATATACACAAATGCATATATGTGGAGTAGGAGTTGAGATGGAACACGGTAGGAATGGACTGGAGGTTGTCCGTGGATTGTGTTGCCTGCAATGTTGGCGCAGGATAAAGTTAGAGCGGGTTCCCAATATGGCAGTCGGCGTAGAATGTCATATAGCCAATCACCAGTTCTTATACAAAAAAGAAAGGAGACTTGCATGTGCAGCTGTAATGAGGGAGAACAGATGGGGTATCAATTCGGCGTGTGATGGGGCAAGGTACGATTAGGGATACGTGTGCACATTTGCAAATGGATTTACAAGTGCCGCAAACATAATTTTTATCCATCTAATCGGTAAGGTGGTCGCGCGGATCGCGTGGAGCCGAGTATTGTGCTCAACGCGGGCGTGGCAATATGCCTACTTGTGTACGTGTGCACATCTATGTACACATACTCATGCGCGCAGATCGGTGGGCCCAGTGCGTACGTGGTAGAGCAGGACCGGGAGCCTGCGGCGCGCTCCAATCGTCGCCAACGTCGTCGGGGCATCCAGAGTACAGGCAGGCATCGTCGCCAGCGCAGCAGCAGTACCTCGGATACCCAGAGCGAGTGTCCGACATACCTCGCAAGTTAAAACATACTCCAGCGCAGGAAGTTGCGCGCTCGCCGACCACGCAAGATACTCCACTGGAGGATTTCAAGCACAATGCGCGTGCAACATACTCCAACAATACATCCCGCAGATTTCAAATACGCACAAGCTACTCCCCGCAGTTCTCCGATATCAAGAAAGACCCCCCAAATGATCCCACGGGCAAGAAAAACTCCCAACAAGTTCCAAATGTTCCCCCACATACTCCAAAGAACACTCCAGCGCCATTTGCAAATCCTGAAATTCTCCAAAGATGCTCCACCGCCATCTGCGAATTTTCAAAATACTCCAACTATACTCCAGTGCCATATGCGAAATCTCTTAATACCCCAAGGATCTTCCAGTGCCACGTGCGAATGTTCAAAATACCCCTAAAATATGCCAGTGCAACGTGCAAGTTTTGAACATACTCCGAAGACATGCGCCATTTGCGAAATTTCAAAATACTCCAGATATGCCCCCGCGGCGAACTTTGAGATTTCAAAATGCCGCAGGAAGCGCTCGCCAACCATTTGCGAGACATAAAAACACCCCAAGACGCAGCGCGTTACCATCTTCGACAATTCCAAATCTTCCAGGAGATACCCCCGCGCGTTTTCCGGAAAGCATTACCTTGATGCGGGCCCCGTGGCCTTTCCTCGACAACGCGAAACTCTTGTAGTAATGCCCCCCCCTTCCCCGCTTCGCCCGAAATCGCGCCGCTGCGGCATATCATGTAGTGGGCTCCCTAGCGGTTCCCTAGTGGGCTCCCTAGCGGAGGAGGAGGGAGGAGGAAGAGGAGGAGGAGGAGGAGGAGGAGGAGGAGGACGAGGAACAACAACAACAACAACAACAACAACAACAACAACAACAACAACAACAACAGGAGGAGGAGGAGGAGGAGGAGGAGGAGGAGGAGGAGGAGGAGGGAGGAGGAGGACGAGGACGAGGACGAGGAGGAGGAGGAGGAGGAGGCGGGGGACGATGAGGAGGCTGAGAACAATGGGAGGAGGCGGAGGAGGAGGAGGAGGAGGAGGAGGAGGAGGAGGAGAGGGGGGGGGGAGGAGGAGGAGGGAGGAGGAGGGAGGAGGCGAAGGAGGAGGAGGAGGAGGCGTCTTTTTCACTCGCCCATGTTTGGGGGCATGCACGAAGGGGCGTCGTGTCGACCTCTCCCCAAGCCTCCGTGCGCACATTTGGCTCGGAGGTGGCGGTCCCGCGCGGACGTGGCGCACGGCTCGTCCGCCGAGTCGCCTTCTCCTCCTCTTCCTCCTCCTCCTCCTCCTCCTTCTGTTGTTCCTCCTCCTCCTCCTCCTCCTCCTCTTTCCTCCTCCTCCTGCTCCTCCTCCTCCTGCTCCTGCTCCTGCTCCTGCTCCTGCTCCTGCTCCTGCTCCTGCTCCTCCTCCTCCTCCTCCTCCTCTTTCACTCGCCAATGTTTTGGGGCCCGCGCGAGTTGGGCGACGCGTCGCCGTCTCCCCAAGTCTCCGTGCGCGTTTGGCTCGGAAGTGACAGTCCCGCACGGACGCGGTGTACGGCTCGTCCACCGAGTCGCATGGCTTGTCCGCCGGGTCGGGTTTCCGCCCGCCCCTTGAAGAAGGAAGGGTGGCAGGCCTAGAGGAAGAGTTTCAGGCATTTCCAGGACTCCAGAAGATGTAAAACCGCTCGACCCTTGAAATGGGAGGGCGCCCTAAGCAGACTGGGATCTGGCAGCGGGCGACATGCCGACCTCGCCCAAAACGCCGCGCAACTCGTGAATGAAAGTGGCGGTGCCGTGTCGGCGCGCGGCGCATGCTTCGTCTTCGCCGCGCCCAGCGGAGGTATTGCCGTCCCCGCCCCTGCGCGGCCCCGCGTGATGTTCCCCTGGCCAAGGTCGTCGGAGGCGTGGCTGCGCGCCGGGGCGCCTTGCGTCTGCCAGGTGGGAGCGCGTTCCGACTGTGATATCAAGCTGTGCCACGGGGGATTATTCTTGTGGGAGGCAGGGTGGGAATAGGCGGGTCCCTCGGACTCGCTCGACCTGCTTGACTTCCGCTCCCACACCCACTTCCGCCTACCCTCCTGCCATCATCCTGCGACACGGCTTCTGCTCCTCTTCCTCCTCCTCCTCCTCCTCCTCCTCCCTCCCCCCTGCCGCTCCCTCCTTCCGTCTACTCGTCCCGCGCCCCAGGTCCCCCTCCCCCCTCCCCCTCCCCCTCCCCCTCCCCCTCCTCCTCCTCCTCCTCCTCCTCCTTCTTTTCCTCCTTTTCCTCCTTTTCCTCCTTTTCCTCCTTTTCCTCCTTTTCCTCCTTCTCCTCCTCCTCCCCATTCTCCTCCCTCCTCCCTCCTCCTCCTCCTCCTCCTCCTCCTCTTCCTCCTCCTCCCCGCTGCTTCTCCGACGCATCCCACCTTTCCTCCTCCTTCTCCTCCTCCTCCTCCTCCTCCTCATTGTCCTCCTCCTCCTCCTCCTCCGCCTCCTCCTCCTCCTTCCATCTCCTCTTTCCCACTCTTCCTCCTCCAACTCATCCTTCTTCTTCGTCGTCTCCTCCTCATCCTCCTCCTCCTGCTCCTCCTCCTCTGCCCGTTGGGGAAAGTTCGATATTTTCCTGTGCGTGGGCTTCCAAGGGTGCATCGTGTTCTCGCTGCTCCTCATACGACACGGCAGGTGCACTCACGCCCGCGCTGGTCTCGCCATCCAGCACGGTGTATGCTGGCAGCTTCGTCGCTGATGTCGGCAACCCTCGAGCGCCCGCGTAGGGACAACGACAGGGGGGGATGGGCAGAGGGGGGAAAACATCGTCCTGGAATCGGCGATACGTCGCCGATAGATCGGCGATAGGCCCCCGATGGTGAATCCGCACGCTCCTGGGCATGTCGGGGCCATCGGGCCCGTGTCGGCGGTCTATGGGCGACTGGGAGTCGATGCACCTGAAGGGGCCCAGGGACACACAAATAGATACACACACACAAATGAAAGGATGCCCCATATCTTTTCCAGATCTTCTTGGCTTTTGTCTTCCCCCCACACTTCCCATAGTTTCCCATCCTTTCTGGGGAACCGACGATTCATGGTGTCTGTGTGCTTTTTCCCCTCCTGAGCACCCCCCCCCGTGCCCGTCCCCCCCTCTGTGGGCTGCCCCTGACCCGCGGACGTCCGCCCCCGGCCGCGGCGCCCGTGCGCGGCGGCCTCCCGAGGCCCTCTCCGTGGCCGCTCGCGGCTGGCACTCCGCCTGCCCTCGGCCTCCGCCTCGCGCGCGCGCGAGCCCCTCCGCGAGGGCTGCCGCCCGGCGCCGCCCGACTGGTCTGCCCCCACGGCCGGCCTCCGCGGGTGCCTCCCGGGGAGGCTGCGGCGGCGCAGCGCATCCTCGGGGCAGGTCGCGACGGGGACGGCGTGCGCCTCCAGTCCAGACGCTCGCCGGACACCCCGCCCCGGGCGGGTGGTGAGGAGGGGGAGGGGGGGACCGAAACGGGGAGTGGAGAGAAGGGGCCCCCTCGAGTTAAATCTCGGGCATGTCCCCCCACAGGCCGATTTTGGAGGACAAATCCCTCCAGAAGTCAAAACAAATACTCAAACATGATGAAAACAAACATACACACGCAAAAAACGCCCCCGGACTATCTTTTCACTATTTACGAATATTCCCCCTGTAGGCGGTCACGCCCGACTTAACCCTTGAGGCCCCTTTCCTACACCGCCCGTTCAGTTCACCCCCCCCTTGCCACCTGCCCGAACACTACCATCGTGTACCATCGGTCGGAGGAAGTAGGTAGAAACATGAAGTAGGAAGGCGCTGAGAGTAGATTGGGTGTCCGCTCGCCCCCCAAAGAGGACGGGAAAGGTGAAGCCCCATCGATCATTCGAATATGGCAACCCAAACCTACTTTCAACGACTGATGGGCACTTCTTCAAAGCCTGTGGGCCCATCCTGGGAACGGCCGGGCGCGCCGCGGCAGCTGCGCGCCGCGGCCTCCGGTGGCAGCGGTGCCCCGTCCACGCCAGGAGTCCTGCGGCAGCTCCATGCTGCAGGGGCTGCGCGGGCCGTGGGCTGGTGCCGCAGACGCGCGGGTGTCCATGGGCTTCGGGTCAATGTCGTGCCGCCTCGCCTCCGCCCCCTCCTGCCTCCTCCTGACATAACCTGCTCTTCCTCCTTCTCCTCCTCCTCCTCCTCCTCCTCCTCATCATCCTCCTCCTCCTCCTGCTCCTGCTCCTGCTCCTCCTCCTCCTCCTCCTCCTGCTCCTGCTCCTCCTCCTCCTCCTCCTCCTCCTCCTCCTCCTCCTCCTCCTCCTCCTCCTCCTCCTCCTCCTCCTCCTCCTCCTCCTCCCCTCCTCCTCCTCCCTCCTCCTCCCCTCCTCCTCCTCCTCCTCTCCTCCTCCTCCACCCCTTCCAATGCACATATTTGCTCCATTTGTCCTTTTTTCCCTCCCCACTCCAGCCCTCCTCCTTTCCCCCTTCTCTCCATCCTTTCTGTTCCCACCCCTTCCCTCTCCCTCCTCCTCCTCTTCCTCCTCCCTCCTCCTCTCTCCTCCTCCCTCCCTCCTCCTCCTCCTCCTCCTCTCCTCCTCCTCCCTCTCATCCTCCTGGTCCTCCTCCTCCTCCTCCTCTCATGCTCCTGCATTGCCTGCTCCTCCTCCTCCTCCTCCTCCTCCTCCTCTCCTCCTCCGCCTCCTCCCCTCCTCCCCACCTCCCTTCTCCTCCTCCTCCTCCTCCTCCTCCTCCTCTCCTCCGCCTCCTCCTCCTGCCGTTTCTGCCGTTTCTCGCTCAGCCAGCGTCTTCCTCCTCCTCCTCCTCCTCCTCCTCCTCCTCCTCCTCCTCCTCTTCCCAGCCGCCGTCGTCGGGGAGCCTTCCAATGCTTCTTCTCGTCGTCGAAGACCATGAAATACAGCTTCCCTTGGGACGGCAGGGACTCCTGAGGAAGATGGCGGCACACATCACCCTGCAGCTACTCCATCCTCCCTTCCTCCTCCTCCTCCTCCTCCTCCTCCTCCTTCTCCTCCTCCTCCTTCTCCTCCTCCTCCTCCTCCTCCAACTGGTATTCCTCCCCCTTCCTCGTCCTCCCCCTCCGCCGCTTCCTCAGCCCCCTCCCTGTCGGGTGGTGTGCTTCCCAGCCCCTGGGACTCCTGGGCGAACGTCATGTTGAGCAGAAGCCGCCCAGCTGGCGTGCTGTTCGTTCTGGCGTGCAGGATCGGGTGGGAGAAGGAGGACGACGACGACAGGGAGCAGAAGGACGAGGACGGACGGAGAGAGGGAGGAGGAGGAGGAGGAGGAGGAGGAGGAGGAGGAGGAGGAGGAGGAGGAGGAGGAGGAGGAGGAGGAGGAGGAGGAGGAGGCGGAGGAGGCGGAGGAGGAGGAGGAGGAGGAGGAGGAGGAGGAGGAGGAGGAGGAGGGAGGAGGAGGACTGATTGAGGTTTGTGGATGCTCGTGCCATATTTTGGCCTCAGGGGACTCCCTCCAGATGAGGATTCGATCAATCACCCATGGCAGCCAAGACCCATCAACTGTCGAATCGACGTGCCACTAGGAATGGCTTGAACCCCCGAGGGAACCGTGCCGGATCCCAGAACCCCTCGAGCAAAACCGGCGAGGAGGCGGAGGAGGACCAGCGCATGACCTGGAAGCCCTCTGATCCTGGCGCCAAGCGCCCCCGTGGGTGTGCAGCCCCCAGGCGCCTCGAGGCTCGCATCGCCCCGTGAGCCAGCAGGGAGGGAGCTCTCGGTGGGGCGGGGGGTGCCTCGCGCGGTCCTCGAATGCGGTTGCTCGACTGTCCCCCCTGGGAGGGGGCGGGGGAGAGAACCCGAGAACTCTCGATCGAGCTCGGATCCCGATCGTCCAGCGCCCCGCCCGGCCCCGCGCAGCTCCTCACGCGGAATAGCATGACCATGCCCAGATTCCATGTAACTCTTCCTGGATGCCGTCGTGGGCCTCTGGCCTCGGGCTCCTGCCGGATGCTGCAGCCGACGATGTCGGCGGGGACGACGGCACCGCTGGCCATGGACTGTTTGAATGCTTGCAGCCCTGGCGTCGGCGGCACCGCTGGATGCTTGCAGTCCGCACCGTGGCTAGACTCGCCCGCCTTGATGGCCAGCTCTCGCGAAGACCAGTCGGCGCGATCCCAGCCTGGCGATGCCCAGGCCACGGCGGCGGCGTCGGAGCCGTCCTCCACGACGTCGCGCTCCCCTCCGTGAGGCCGAAGTCTGCCTCGCTCTCGCCCTCCATGCCGAGTTCCGAACTGTTCACCACACCATGCAGCTTGGGGTCGATGGGCGAATCGATGTCCGCCATGGACGGAGAGCCGGCTGCCAACGCCTTTCTGCAGGGCTGCGCAGCAGCGTCTGACAACTGGCCATCGCCGCCGACGCTTCCGGAGGGCGTGAAGGTCCCCTATGCGGCTGGGCATCTGAGGTTTTCGGGGCTGCGCCCTGCAACATTGCCAACGCCTGAGGGGCGGCTGTGAACTTGACGGCGCAGCCGCCACGTCCAGCGGGATCGGGCTGCCCCCATATGGGGGAGGCGGCCTGGGTGCCTGCTTTCGAGCAGGGCGAATCGCCACCGAATGGGTGACAGGGAGGGCCAACTGGGGGAGGGAAGAGAACGAGGAGGAGGATGAGGAGGAGGAGGAGGAGGAGACAGAGGAGGAGGAGGAGGAGGAGGAGGAGGAGGAGGAGGAGGAGGAGGAGGAGGAGGAGGAGGAGGAGGAGGACACACAACACGACTCGGGGGGGGGGGGGGGGCGAATCCGATGGACAGCTCATCGCTCGAAAAAGCTGGTCCCTCAGTGGCCTTCAAAGGGCAACTTCACTCTGCGTCCAGGCCTCTGCAGGTACGAAGGGAGTGACCAGGCTCCAGTCCGCCCCAAGGCGTGGGGAGACACGCTCAACGGGGACGGCAACACGGCTCGAGGTTCACATAGTTACGGCCCTGCAGCCCAGACAAACTCCACAAACAATTATCCCCGAGACGTCGCCTCCGGTTTATGGGAAACGCGCCGTTCCTGGACAATAGATCTGCGGGAGACCCCTTCCAGGGCATAATCTTCTCACATTCGAAGCGGTCGAGGGACCCCAGAGGAGGAAGAGGAAGGACCAGCAGCCGCCTAGAGGAAACAGAGGAGAGGAGGGACGAGGTTGAGCTGGAGGAGCCGGGGAGGATTGCAGCGGGGATGCGGGACCAAGAGGGCGCTCGAGCGGCACAGAATTCGAACACTACCAGTCCGCGCCACAGTCCGCGCAAGCCTCGCGTCCTGTGCACCTTCGGGAAGGGCAGGGAGTGGCCGGGGCCTCTTCCACGAGCCTCGTCGCGGACTTCGGTGCGCACGCGACCGAGCAGAAGGACGGCGCGCACTAGAAGTTGCTCGCGGGCGGAAACCATACGCCTGCCTCTTTTTCCCCAGGCAGCGCTCGCACTCCAGGGGTCCTTGCTGCGCTGGCTCGTGTGATCGGCTGGGCCTGCCGAAGGTGGCGGCTGCTGCCCACCCGGTGGGCGCGCCGCGCTCGGGGGCCATGCCGACGTTTCGCCTCTGGTGCCCGCCCGCGGGCGCCTCGGGGGCGCCTCGTGCGCAGGGGCGGGTCTGCTGGGATCTCGCCCGGTGCCCGCCCGGGGGGCGCCCGGTGGGCAGCTCGTGCACCACGCGTATCGCTCTGTCCTCGTGAGATCTCCCCCGTGTCATCGCTTCCCCCCCCGGGGACGGAACAGATTACGCACGATTCGGCCTCACCGTTCGCTTCGCGTAATTATGAGGTTGTGCCGTCCCGTGCGGCCAGACATCGCCCGTGCACCCCTGCCAGATGTCACAATATGTGTTTGTGTGTGTGATTCGCCAGGTTCTGTTTCAACCATCTCTTGAAATGCCTGACACAATGCCCACACGAACACACACGTCGAACTCATGTCAGCCACACTGTGTGTTACAACCATTGCAGCATACGGACACGAGAAACATAACAGTGTGTCATCACACATCTCGCAGACTTGAGCCCGCGCGAATTTGCATATGATTTGAACACTCTCGCCAAGAACCTGGATTCTCACCTCACCATGCGGTGCGTCCGCGTTGACCCAACATGCGCCCAGCGCCCACCGTGCGAATCAGCGTACACATAGAATGTGTGTGCATATACCTATATACCACATACAACCAGGTGGGCCACATGCGCGCGCCGCCATGCGCGCGTCCGATTTGTCTCAAAAGAAAGGGGTTGTGCTCGAAGCGCTTCCCAGTATAACTCTTCGAACAGATGTTGACAAACCCAACTGTTTCCCAAACAGAAAATTGCCAGGTTGCCTGTATTTCCACGCATGCGTTTCCTCACCAGCACTCCATCAGCGCCATCGCATCCTCGCCTTAATCTTCATCGCTAATCGCCGCCAGTGAGGCCACCATCAGTCAATCCCCGTCACCATCGACACATGGACATCATCATCGCCATCGTCGTCACCACCAACAGTGGCGCCGTTAGTGGCCTTGCCGTCGTCAACTTCATCGTCGCCACCACCATCGCTACTATCATTACCGTTGCCGCTCGTGTCGGCGTCGTCATAACACCGCGCTGAAGCGCCCGCGCGCTAGTACGGCCTTTGAGACGCGCTGAGAAATGCCCATCGGTAAGCGCCATCGAGCTCGCGCCGGCTGTGCCTAACCAACTGGCTGCTCCGCGCGCAAGATTGCGCGCGCTGGCGCAGCCGCTGAGATGCGCCAGCCAGTGCCAAGCAGTCACCGCAATCGCAACCGCATGGGTTGTGCAAGCGAAGTTGCATGTGGGAGGGTGGGGTGAGTGGGGTGAGTGCGCGAGCAGTCGAGTTGACGACTTCAAGTTCTGCAAGGCGGATTGCCACACATAGCTTACACCACACAGCTTACACCACATATTTTACACCATCTAAATTGCATCATATGCATGGCAACGTTTTGATTGAAGCGCCTAGATTTAACCATACAGCGTGCATCACATAGCTCGCACCACATAGCTCACACCACATGGTTTACAGCTCATAGCTGGCACCACGTAGATCGCACGACGTAGACTTGTAGCTGCCACCGCGTATATGCACCACATAGCCTGCACCATGCGGATTGCATCACAGCTTGCGCCACGTAGCTTGCACCACATAGCCTGCAACACATAGCTTACAACACACAGCTTGCACCAGACACCTTGCACATGCTTACACCGTACACTTACACATCCACACTGCAATGGCTCACATTCTGGGGTCCACGTGGGCAAACATGCCGGACAACGTTTTTAGGGAGGCCGTGGGTCACAGCCGCAAGGAAATTCAAAACTGACTTGCTGCCGGCTGCGGGAACATGTGGCGGCAAACCCTCCCAGACCGCCAAACACTGACAGGGGACACCCGCACGAATGTCAAACGCGATTTGGCCGGCTCGCCAGACGGCAGCCCAACGCTCGCCCCCGAAAACGGGCGGGAGCCGGTGTCTCGGTGTCGCTCCAGTCCAGCAGCGGGGGGTGGGAAGTTTAGCTAATGTGCGCGGATGGGCGGGCACGTTGGCAGGCAAGCCACGAATGCCGGAGGGAGGGGCACGGGATACTTGCCATGCCCCCATTCAGTCCAGCCTAGGGGGAAGCATGCTCCAAGCCGGTCCCCAGGAGGCGTACGCGGGACCCTCAATGTCCTCTGGGCGAACCATGGCAATCGAAAGTTCGATAACTTGTAGCACACTGAACTTTCGCCTTTCGCGACGAACCTCGGCTAGAACTTGCTCGTCCCGGGCCATCGATGAAATCCTCTTCGGCCGCTCCGCAAGTGCGATCTGGGGGGAGACAAGAGAGCTCGATGCAGCGACTTGCACCTCAATGGCATCAGAGATAGCTGCTGTCATCTATCCCTGCACCTGATCACTGTGACCCGCGCCTCCCGCCTAGCATGATCGGAAAACGCGAAGTATGAAACATAGGAGAGAGGAGAGGAGAGGAGGATGGGGAGGAGAGGGGAGGGGAGGGACAGCAAAGGAAGAGAGTGACCAAAGAGTCACCACGGGGGACCGTGTCCCGAGACGGTGGGCTGGCTGGGAGCCTCCGCGTGGCCCGCCGAGGCAAATCCTGGGGCGGAGTACGCGGCGCTGGGCGCCTCAGCACATGGGTTCCTTCCCCTCGGCAGCCCGAGCGGGGTTCTCTTGACCCTTGCGGCTGCGCACAAGGGGGGCGCACCTTCACGAAATGGCGGGGGTGCACGACGCCCGACCCAATCCACGCCGCCCCCGACAGCTGGCGAACAGCGATGCCAGCCGTGGGGCGAGCCTGGTCTGGTGCCGCTGGACCCGCTCCACCTGCTTGCCGCTGGCTTGAATCCCGCGCAGCATGGGGCCCACGGCACCTCCAGGGCCGGACCCGGGGCAACGAACGCCTCCAGATCTGCTTTGGCAGCCGCGTCGTCGTGCACGGCAACTTCCCCACCATGGTCGCAAGTGGCCTCGGCACCACGGCGAACCGCGACTGCGCCCCCTCAGACGACATCTCCGTGACCCTAATGACCCGTCTGGGCGAGGGCGGCGGGCGCCGTGTTCCAGCCCCCAGAAAGATGCCACGGCCGCGAGGGTCTGGAAATTCTCGCGCCTGGCTCCCGGCGGGGGGGGGGGCATGTAGGTGCCGGGGATTCGCACAGACTGCCAAGCTGGAGGTCGCAAGGAGGTCCAGGCTCGAGGTCGCAAGCTGCTTGCGACACAAGATCCACTCACCCGCAGAATAGCCGCTGTGATTCCTGAGTGTTGGGGTGGCCGAGACCTCCCATGAGTCTTTCGAGACCTCCAGCCGCACATCTTCCGAAGCGAAAGGTCGCGCATGGGCGTCCACCCAGGCCATGATATGGTAGAGGTCGCGCTTCTCGTGAACGAACTTCTCCGCCTAGGGGCTTCAAGTAAAGACATTTGCATAGAAAAAGACAGCAGTGCTATCCACTGGTTGACTTCGCAGCGTCAGTAGCAGGACGAGATGACACAGCCCCAACTCTGCGCGTGAATTCCTTGGCCGCCGCCACTGTGTAAAGACCCGCGGCACTTTCGAATCGGGCCTGCTCCAATGTGGCTCCAGCTGCTCGCTGTGCCGCTTCCGTCTGCTGCTCTTGCGTGACATTGTCTTCCTTGATGGAAGCGGAACCTGCCGAACCCCTGCTTTCATCGTCAGTGGCGTCGGGTTGGAGGTCTGCAGAGACTCCTACCCCTTACAGATTATTGCGATTCTCATTCGCGGAGGCCTCGGCAGTGCGTGGATTTGACGGGGTGGATGAGCTACATCGAGCGAGCCTGCTTCTTGCACCTCGTCCTTGTGCCACTGCAACTTGGCCTTCCATGATATGAGACTTGCCTTGGCGGTGTCTTCGTACGGGTCTAGATCCTCATCAGCTGCGAAGAGTAGTGTTTCCCCATCATGCGTGATCCCTGGCTCAAGCGCTGGGGATTGAAGTGTCCCCTGCTCGTAAGATTTGACCGCCGCCACTCTGACCACCTCCGCCGCGAGGTATACCTTACCTTGAGTAACTAGATCTTCCTCGCATTCTCTGAGGTCGGCGTTTGCCTCGAGCAGCTTGCGGGGAAAAGGCGTGTGCTGTTCCTTGTTCTGCCACGCGTGGCGCTGGATGCACTTGGCTCTTGTCGATGATTCGCTCCTCTTGCCACACTCGCAAGTGTCCCGAGCCTCGCCATATCGCCCCATGAGGAATCGGGGCAACAGCTGACGGTCCTCCGATTGAACGGGTGCACGCCCTTGCCTGGGGCGGACCCGGGAGCGCGACACGATATCGGGCACAAAGCCCTGGACTGCCACGGAATAGCGGTACCCAGATGGTTCCCCGTGAGCCTCATCCGCTTGAGCTCAAATTGCTACGGACACAGCAAGGGAAGACGAAGATGGGGAAGAGGTGAAAGGGTGGCAACAAAGATGCGACGTTCACCTCCCACCCAACAGCGAGTAATCGCATGACGCATGCCTGAGGTAATCCAAGTCAGCGGCACAAACAAACGATCACATGAATCACCCCGATCATCGGCCCAAACCGACTAGACATCACCCGAACCGCGTAGAAAGAGGCACTGGACACTGGCAACCTCGGGAAAACCAACGTCGATGCAAGCGCCGCGGTTTCGCTCACGGCATGGGCGGCGCCCCTCCCAGTCCGACGCCTCCCACGCGTGCCGCTTTGGAATCAGTAGCGGCTCGATGCGTGAAGCTCCTTACCCATACAATCGGCGACATAAGTAACGCTGCAGAGCACGAGCTCAGAGGCCCGAGTCTAGACCCCCAGGGCCAATTCCACCCTGAGCGTGGCAATTGCACTAAACCTTAACCAATCAGGCCCCGCACGCGGCCAGGTTGCGCCCGACCTAGGGCCTCGCAAACCCATGCCACGCTTCGCTTCTAAGAGGGGGCGATCCAGATGCAATGTGCAAGTATCATGGGGTTGGCCCGCAGAAAATCATGGCCTGTCCTTCGAGTGCGCTCTCATCCTTCCCCTTATCCTCCTTCTCCCTCCCCCTCGTCTCCTCATCTTAGTGCTACTCATGCTTCTACTCCAGCCCCTGCCTTCTACTGCCACTGCTGCTGCTCCTCTTCTTGTCCTCCCACCCCCACTATGCTCCTTCCTTCTACGGAGTAGGCCCAGCGCAAGGAGTCTGCGAGACGCGCTGCCAACCGAGCATTATGAGCATACCCTCTCCATGGCTGCGCACCTCAGTGTTGGCCTTGGCGTCAGCTGTGGGTGCTCTGCGAAATGATGTCGGGCCAACTCACACGATCTGCTACTGCTCGCTCGCATGGGTGGGTGCCTCCACCCTCCATCCATTCATCCTCATGCCCTTTGGGGAACGCACTTCCTGGCTCTCGCAGCGGAAAAGAGAACACGGGCGGGGAAATGCCTGTCGTAGTCGAAGCAGAACTTCCCGAGGAAGAGTGACATGTCGCCTGGGAAAAGGGATTGCGAAGTGGAGAACCAAAGGACGGGGATATGGACGTTAGCCTGGTCCGATGGCATGTCGAATAGGACATCACTTCTTTGTTTGTATGCTCTTCCGTCTTCCCCAACTCCGTGTCTGCACAGCCAGCGCCAGGGCCAGGGGGAAATACACCAGGGGACAAGACGAGGGGGATGAACACGAAGCTAGCGTGCACCCGCGCGAACGCTCGACAGCGCGCACACTCGACAGTGCGCGCACGAAGGACGAGCAACGAACGGGGACGTATTGAAATAGGAGAGTCGCCATTCAATCTGGGGAGATATGATGCCCCTTGCCATGACATCCTCCCCACCCCTAGTCATCACCCCCCTGTGGGCCGCCCCCGAGCTCAACGTGAGCCCGTCGGCCACAGGCTCGCACGGCTGCTCGGCGTCTCCTCCCGCGCCTGCATGGCTTGATTGCAACCCGTATTGTAAGGATGCGCGATCGGATGCAAGGGCCTTGAAGGCCATGTCGAAGCTTTGCCAGTGGGGCGCGGCCATCGAAAGTGGCCAAGGATGGGCCGAAAAGGCAAGGATGCAAGGGTAGCCTTGGGAAGGTTGCCCATCCTTGTTATGCGGGTTGACTGTGTCGTCACAAGACGTTCACTGTTTGTAATCCCAACCACCTAGCAACAAAGAAACCAACCGAACAATCATTCGTTCAAACTCACTCGCGGTTAGAGTGCAAGTGTTTGCCAATGAATTGTAGTCCCCTCGGACCCCTTGGGACGAATTGGTTGCGAATGATTTGTCGCAACTGCTCGGGACCCCACGGGGACCCCTTGGGAATTTGCGAATTCGCAACATGTTTCGAGCGAGGCCACCCCCACTGTCGCGACCCCCCCGGGGGTCGATCCCCTTGAGGGGGCCCCCCGGGCAAATCATTTTCAATACATTGTCAAGTAGTTGACGGCTTATTGTAACCAACTGTGCATTCAACGTTTCTTTGCGCGTTGGCTGCTTGAGTGAAAAGTCATGGGATGCCTAGGAACCTGCGTTGTTGCTACGACCGGGCGACAGTCTATGCATGGCCAGAAGCGCCCGATAGCCACGTTTCTTCAGCAGCCTCGAGCTTATCCCCATCCCTGAGACTGACAAACCCACAGGCGATGACAATGCTAGGGATGCGTCCTCAGAAACCGAGGGAATCCTCAAGATTGGCATCGAAACAAAGTGAAACCGATCATAGGGAGAAGGATCTCGACGCCCGAGATGTGTGCGGAAGAAATGGGTACGATACCAAACAAGACATGCTGTCAACCAGAACCAACAACGGCCGTTGTTGGGCAGGCGGCCTTCTGTCTCAAATGGACACCGTCCGCGGCGACACCGACAACGAGTCCTGTCCATTTTTTTGTGCCCGGACAGAACACCTCGGCGACACAACCCGAAGGGAGGTACCCAAGGTGCCTGCGTGAATTCACATGCAGTCGGACCTCGCAACACGAACGGCGGCACGGACCGCCCCCGGCGTTATCCGCGCCGCCGTTGCGAGGTGCCTCGAGATGCCACCCCGAGACACGGCCACCGGCACCACCCCCACTTGGCCGCCGGCCTCAAGCAGCGGAGGCCCCGCTGCCCAAGGACTTAAGTTCCCGCGCCCCCCACGTCGGGGGACCCCTTCGAGTAACCCCATCGGCTGTCCAACAAGAGCATGAACAGCTGCTAGTCTTAAGTCGTGCCTGTCACTCTAAAGTAGGAATCTCCAAAAATTATGCAAGAATAGTCAGGGGACGATTTCTTGACTATGTTCGGGTATGTTTGAATATTGTTTAGGTAGTTATTATGTTTCGTCCAAAATCCGCCTGTAGGGGGACAGGCCCGACCTAATGCTAGTCTTCGGGCCCACTCTTCCCGTGCCGATATTTCGGTCCTCCGAAAGGCCATCACGTCGGCACCCTGCGAACGCGAGGGCGCGGCCCAGGAGGGGCCGAAGGGGAAGAATGCATGGGCCGCCTTGTAATGTTGCTCATCCTTCCATCGGGCGTTGGCAGCTACTGGGTTTAGTGAGGCCCGGTTTAAGGATGTGTACTGGGGGACGCCCCCCCCCCGCCCCGTTCCACTAACTGGAACTGCCGTCGCGCGATAAAACACCAGCTACCAGTTCAGACATGGTTTAGCGATTCTGGCCAATTTAGGGGCTCCAGGGCTCTACTACTGACCAGGTCCCCTTACCTGGGGCCCTGGTTATACACGATACGTAGCACCCCGCAATTGCGGATAAGAGTGAGGGTGCGGGCGCGGGCGACGCGGGCGTCGAGCCGGCGGACCTCGTGGCCCTCACCTTCCCTGTCGATGGCGCCCTCCTCCTCCTGCTCCTCCTCCTCGCCGCCGCAGGCGCCGATGCGCTGTTGTAGAGTTAGCGTGGGCCAGATCGGGGGAAATGCACGAGGGCGCAAGTTCTCCACCTGGAACGAATGCAGAAGAAATCCGCCGCAGGCGCCGAAGTTTTGGCTTGTTCAGTGAACGTAGTTTGGGTCGCGGGTGGGTCGCGGGCTCTCCACCTCCACCTGGAAGGAATTGAAAAACAGCCCGCCGCAGGCGGCGAACAATTTGACTTGTACACTGAACGCGGTTGGGTCGCAGGTTCTCCACCTGGAGCGAATGCACAAGAAACCCGACGCAGGCGCCGAAATTTTGGCTTGTTCAGTGAACGTAGTTTGGGTCGCGGGTGGGTCGCGGGCTCTCCACCTCCACCTGGAGGGAATTCAAAAATAGCCCGCCGCAGGCGCCGAAAATTTTGATATGCACACTGAACGCGGTTTGGGCCACCTGGAACGAATGCAAAAGAAGCACGACGCAGGGGGCGAAATTTTTGGGTGGGTCGCGGGGTGGGTCGCGGGTGGGTCGCGGTGGGTCGCGGGTGGGTCACGGGCGCGGTTTGGGTCGCGGGTGGGTCGCAGGTTCTCCACCTGGAACGAATGCAAAAGAAACCCGCCGCAGGCGCCGAAAATTTTGGGTGGGTCGCGGGGTAGGTCGCGGGTGGGTCGCGAGCGAGTCGCGGGTGGGTCGCGGGGTGGGTCGCGGGTGGGTCGCGGGGTGGGTCGCGGGTGGGTCGCGGGTGGGTCGCGGGGTGGGTCGTGGGTGGGTCGCAGGGCGGGTCGCGGGTGGGACGACGACAACAACAAACAGCAAACAGCAAACAGCAAACAGCAAACAGCAACAACAACAACAACAACAACAACAACAACAACAACAACAATCACTTTACCCGAACGCTCAGTGTTCTCACCAGTGCCAGGGTTTTCATGCGACGCCAGCCAATACCCCCACTTTGTGGGGGGGCAGTGCAAGCTCTACCAAATATCCACACGACTCTTCGCCACCACCCACACCCAGCTTCCCGCCCTATGACGTTCGGACACTTCACTTCGTGGCCTGCGGACGACCGTGGCTACTACACTGGCGTGGAGTACACACCCACAGAAGTTGTTAAGCCTACGTTCGTACACCCACAGAAGTTGTTAAGCCTTGTTAACCCACAGAAGTTGTTAAGCCTTCCACAGAACATCTGTTGCATAAGATGCATATGGTACATGATACACATGATACACATGATACGTACTCGGCGGCCGAGGGCGGCCGAGGGCGCAACCTATGGCGCAACCGCAAGGGATTATGGCCCCTGGCAGGCGCGCGAACCCCGTTGCAAGAGCGTGCGAAAGTAGCTCGCGCGAGCTCATGTAACATAAATGTTGGAAAACCATTGGTTTTTTTAGGATTCGGACAGCGCGCGCGGGTGGAAATTTTGAAAAGTCGTGCAGGTGTTTTTCGAGGACCTACGGTGCGATTCGTGTGATTTTATGATGCGCGGTGCTAAAATTCTTAAGAACCCAATGGTTTTTGGAGATTTCGGCGTGCGCGCGCGAAGAAAAAACGAATGTGTCCCGCATGGTATTATTTGACAGGGATGATGGCCCTGGCAGGTGCGCAACCGTTGTCGCAGAAGTTCGAAAAAGTTGCTCGCAAAAGCCCGTTTGACAGAAATGTTTAAAAAGTGTTGGGTTTCCTACGAATCCGCAAGAGCGCGCGGGATGAGATTTTGACATTTTTTTGTTGAAAAACCATTGGTTTTTTGATGTTTTTATGTTAAAATCGCTCCGAACACTAAGCTTTTGGAAGGATTTCGTCTTGCGCGCGCGAATGTCCACTTTACCTTATTTTTTGCAAGGGATTCTTGAAATTTGATTATATTAGAACAAGAAATGTCATTTTATAGTGTTTTTTGCAAGGGAAAACGGATTACAACAAAACAACCGGATCTGGATCACATCGTTTTACCTGAGGCTTCCTCACGAAAATGATGAAAATGTAGCTGCGGCCTAGGCGGCGCAGGGGGGGCGTGCACCAGGGGGCCCAACAATAATTATTCTTTAGAAGTAATAATATTCAACAACAACAACAACAACAACAACAACAACAACAACAACAACAAGAATCCGCATCGCGGAATTCCACTTCAGCCACGCACCTAGGGACAGTGAATGACCGTTCGGTTCAGCCCCCTCACTCTGACTAAACGGGCTGACTGTAAGATCGACATCGACATAAGGTGATGCCAACTAGAAATACGCCTGGCCCAAGGTGCCCCCCCGCTTTTCATTTCACCTTGGAGCCCCTGGGGCTCTCTGGGCCCCTAGGCCTCGTGATGGGGTACCCTGGAGGCCGCCTGGGCCACCTGGGGAATCCATGGGGCACCTTGGGCCAGGGGCACCTCTAGCAGCAGCCGAGGTGGGAGGGGGTCGGGCGGCCATGCCTGGAGGGCGCAGGGGAGTGCCCCTCGGACGGAAGCGGTGGGTGGACGCATGAAGCATGGGAAGGCCCTGCGTTGAAGGGGCGTCTACTGGATCTCCGCCCGTCCCCTGAGGAGAAGGCAGGAGGGACACCGCCTCGACACTTGAGAGAGGAGAGTGCCGAATATGGATGCGAGGAGCCGAACTCGTTTCTCCAGCCCCGCAATGAAATTCGCACATGAAAGCGGATCCTGGTGCATACGGGATCCTGGCGTATACATTTTGCGATGTTTCCCTGGGAGAACGGGGAACAAAGTAAATGCACCACACCACCCCATCGTCGCCCCCGACTCTCAAAAAGTCCTGGGATGGAGAGACAGCCCGCCACTGCCAGTGCACCTATGCTCCGGCTTCCGAGGAGGGGGACATCTGGCCGGCATCGCCGGCGCCAGGGGCGACAGCGACGGCGGCGCGCGGCGGGGGCGGGCCGTCCACCGCGGGGAAGTCGCCCTCCAGCACGGCGCCGGCCTCGGCGTCTCCGCGCAGGTGCCCGGATGGGCCGCCCGCGCCGGTGCGGCTGCTCGTGGTGGCCGTCGGCCTTGTACAGTCAACCCGTGGAGGAAGGACGCACGATGATGATGCAAGGCCCCAAGAGGCCCCCAAGAGGCCACCACGAGGCGTTAAAGAGGCCCCCAAAGAGGCCCCAGGAGGCCCCAACACGGCCCCCAAGAGGCGTCAAAACTGCCTACAAGAGGCCCCAGAGAGGCTTCCCACGAGATCCCAACGAACATCCAACGGGCTTCGCACCCCCAACCCAGGCACGGCGGCGGGATGGGCCAAAGGGCATTAGATCCGCCGCCCCCTGCTTGCAGGGGTGCACGGCGTGCTGGATGTTTCAGGTTTTGTCTTTGGTTCTTTTTCCAAAAGAACTCCCCAGTGGGCTCCGGCACGTCCCGCCGGGGTCCCGGGAGGAAGCCGAAAGGACCTCAATCCGGAAACAAATCCTCCAAAAAACGGCCGTTTCGCTCGGGACATCCTCAAAAAATCGCGAAGATGGCCCAAGATGGCCTCCAAGTCCGCCCGAGATGGTCCAAGACGGCCTCCAAAACGGCCCAAGAGAGTCCAAGACGGCCCAAGACGGTCCAAGAGGTCCTCCAGGAGAGTCCGAAGAGGCCAAAATCATTGATTTTTCCTTGGTTTTTGAAGGATTCTGGCATTTGCGCCTTTTCGGCTCTCCGACGGCTCGAGACGGCCCAAGAAGCCCCCAAGATCGCCCAAGAGGCCCCCAAGAGAGCCCCATGATGGCCCAAGTGGCCTCCAAGATGGCCCCTAGAGGGCCCCAAGAGGGCCCAAGAGGCCTCCAACACGCCCAAGATGGCCTCCCAGACGCCCAAGATGGCCTCCAAGACGGCCCTGGAGCATTCCAAGCGGGCCCCAAGTCGGCCCATAGAGGCCCCCCAAACGGCTTCCGACGGCTTCAGACGTGCCAGGAACCCACCAAGATGGCCGAAGTTGGCTCGAAGCTGGCCCGAGACGGCCCAAAAAGCCCCAAAGATCGCCCAAAGCTTGCCCAAGAGGCCTCCAAGACGGCCAAGATGACCTTCAAGATGCCCACGTGTTCCCCGAAGGCTTTCCAAACCGATTCGGGGAACACGTGGTCCGATAGCTTGGCAGGTCTGGCCTCAACGTTCGGCCACATAGGCGCTTCCAAAAAGGCAGGGGGCGGCGGTGATTCGCCGTAGGCGTCTTCGATCCGCCGCCCCCTGTCGATTCATCCATCGCAGGGGTGCCTGGCGTGCTGGACCCTCCCTGGCGCTCTGGCGCGTCCCGCCGGCCACCCGGAAGACCCGGTTGCCATCGCCAAAAACGGCCGTTTCGCTCGGGACATCCTCAAACAATCGCGAAGATGGCTCAAAATGGCTTGCAAGTCCGTCCAAGATGGTCCAAGACGGCCTCCAAGACGGCCCACGAGAATCCCAGACGGCCCAAGACGGCCCAAGAGGCCCCCCAGAGGCCTCCCAGACGGCCCAAGAGGCCTCCAAGAGGTCATCCAGGAGGGCCTGAAGATGCCAAAATCATTGATTTTCCGTCGGTTGTTGATGAATTTTGGCATTTGCTTCTTCTCGGCATTCCGACGGCTCAAGACGGCCCAAGAGGCCCCCAAGATCGCCCAAGAGGCCCCCCAGAGGGCCCCATGACGGCCCAAGTGGCCTCCAGGATGGCCCCAAGACGGCCCAAGAGCCCTCCAACACGCCCAAGATGGCCTCCAAGACGCCCAAGATGGCCTCCAAGACGGCCCCGAAGCGTCCCAAGAGGGCCCCCATTCGGCCCAGAAAGGCCCCCAAGACGGCTCCCGACGGCGTCAGACGTGCCAGGAACCCACCAAGATGGCCGAAGTTGGCTCAAAGCTGGCCCAAGACGGCCCAAGAGGCCCCCAAGAGGGCCTCCAGGAAGGCCAGAAAAGGCCAAAAACATTGATTATCCTAAGGATTTTTACGGATTCTGACATTTCCTTCTTTTCGGCCTTCCGACGGCCCGAGACGGCCCAAGAGCGCCCAAAGATCGCCCAAGAGGCCTCCAAGACGGCCAAGATGACCTTCAAGATGCCCACGTGTTCCCCGAAGGCTTTCCAAACCGATTCGGGGAGCACATGGTCCTTCCTGGCTTGGCAGGTCTGGCTTCAACGTTCGGCCACATAGGCGCTTCCAAAAAGGCAGGGGGCGGCGGTGATTCGCCGTAGGCGTCTTCGATCCGCCGCCCCCTGTCGATTCATCGCAGGGGTGCCTGGCGTGCTGGACCCTCCCTGGGGCTCCGGCGCGTCCCGCCGGCCACCCGGAAGACCCGGTTGCCATCGCCAAAAACGGCCGTTTCGCTCGGGACATCCTAAACAAATCGCGAAGATGGCCCAAGATGGCCTGCAAGTCCGCCCAAGATGGTCCAAGACGGCCTCCAAGACGGCCCACGAGAGTCCCAGACGGCCCAAGAGGCCCCCCAGAGGCCTCCCAGACGGCCCAAGAGGCCTCCAAGAGGTCCTCCAGGAGGGCCCGAAGAGGCCAAAATCATTGATTTTCCGCAGGTACTTGAAAGATTTCGGCACTTGCTTCTTCTCGGCATTCCGACGACTCAAGACGGGGCCCCATGACGGCCCAAGTGGCCTCCAAGAGGGCCCCAAGACGGCCCAAGAGGCCTCCAACACTCCCAAGATGGCCTCCAAGACACCCAAGATGGCCTCCAAGACGGCCCCGAAGCGTCCCAAGAGGGCCCCCATTCGGCCCAGAAAGGCCCCCAAGACGGCTCCCGACGGCGTTAGACGTGCCAGGAACCCACCAAGATGGCCGAAGTTGGCTCAAAGCTGGCCCAAGACTACCCAAGAGGCCCCCAAGAGGGCCTCCAGGAAGGCCAGAAGAGGCCCAAACCCTGTATGTTCCAAAGGTTTTTGACTGAGTTTGATATTTCCTTCTTTTCGGCCTTCCGACGGCCCAAGAGGCCCAAGAGCCCCCAAAGATCACCGAAAGATCGCCCAAGAGACCTCCAAGATGGCCCCAGAACGGCCCAAGAGGGGCCGAAGATGGCCCCAAGAGGCCCCCAAGACAGCACAGGAGGCCTTTCAGACGCCCAAGATGGCCTCCAAGAGGGCCCTGGAGAATTCCAAGAAGGCCCCAAGTCGGCCCAAAGAGGCCCCCCAAACGGCTTCCGACGGCGTCAGACGGACCAGGAGCCCACCAAGACGGCCGAACATGGCCCTAAGATGGCCCAAGAGGCCTCCAAGAGGTTCTCCAAGAAGGCCCGAAAAGGCCAAAATCATTGATTTTCCATTTGTTTTTTGAAGGATTGTGGCATTTGCTTTCCGACGGCCCGAGACGGCCCAAGAGCCTCCAAAGATCGCCCAAGAGGCCCAAGACACGGCCCCAAGAGGCCCCCGAGACGGCCCAAGAGGTCTCCAAGACGCTCAAGATGGCCTGCAAGACGGTCCAAGAGCCCTCCAAGACGTCCTCCAAGAAGGCCCGAAAGGGTCAAAATGGCCTCCAGACGGCCAAGATGACCTTCAAGATGCCCACGTGTTCCCCGAAAGCTTTCCAAACCGATTCGGGGAACACATGGTCCGATAGCTTGGCAGGTTTGGCCCCAACGTTCGGCCACATAGGTGTTTTTAAAAAGGCAGGGGGCGGCGGTGATTCGCCGTAGGCGTCTTCGATAATAAGGACGCACGATAAGGATGCAAGGGCCTTGGAAGACCATGCCGCCAGTTTGCTGGCGGGGCGCGGCTAGCGAAAGCGGTCAAGGATGGGCCGAAGGAGAAGGATGTAAGGGGAACCTTGGCAAGTCGCTCATCCTTACTATGCGGGTTGGCTGTAATCGAAGTCGTTGACGTCCTGGTCGTATTCGTCGTCGCGCTCGTCGTCCCACTCGTCCTCATGGTTCGTCGTCAAGGCCGCTGTCGTCATCGTTGCCCCTCCTCCTCCTGCTCCTTCCCCACGCCCTCCCTCCACGTCCCCCTCTCCATCCCCACGACTTCCGACGTCATGGTTTTTCACAACGTGGACCCCAGGAGGTCTGCTAATCCCACAAGCCCTCGAGCGTACGTGGTTCAGCGAGCGGGGAAAGGCTTACCTCTCCCCCTACCCCCACTCCCTGGGTCTCGACGGGGGGGGGCGGCGCGGGTCGTTGGAGGGTCCGAGGTGGCCCAAGATCGCTCCAATATGCATCTACACAGCTCCCAGCACGCCTCTATGAGGTCCCAAGACGACTACACATGGCCACGGAGCCTCCCTTTGGAGGCCTCAAGATCTACAAGACCGCCAAAGAGGACCTGAAAAGTGTCTAAGGAGACCTCCGAGATGGCCCCAAGAGCGCTCCAAGAGGGCTCCAAGAGGGCGCCATCTTGGGCTTTGAGGGGGAGACTTACATGAAGACCCCCCCTGTCTGTCATCGATGGTCACGACCCCAAGGGAGCCCCTAAATGGACCCAAGAAAGTCCCAGGACGGCCCAAGTACACCCTGCGAAATGCTTAAGAAATCATGGGTTAAGAAATTCATAGTCTCAGAACTTGAATAAAAACCTAAAGTTTCCATTCAAATCTTAGGATTTACATTGAAACATTAAGAATAATCGAGACTCTGGCCGAAAACTTAGGTTTTCTTAAGCATCGCCTAAGGTGTACGCTGCCAAGAGGCTCCCGGATCGAACGATCCGGTGAGGCATGCATGGGCGACTCCTGCGCCTGCCTAGGCGGATGCGAATCTCCGGTCTGACGGCTGCCTCCCTCTCTTTGTCTGCTTGCCCCTACACTTCCATGATCGAGGGAACTCGCCTGGGCTTCATTTCTGCACGTGTGCATCCCCACCTATGCCCATCCATCCTATCGTCAGGTCGGGCATGTCCCCCTACAAGTGGATTAGGGGTGGGAAATCAAAACGACCCCCACAATACCCAAAACTGGTCAAAACACATATTCCAAACATACTCCAGGGACTCTTTTTTTTTGTTTTACTATTTTGAATATTCCTCCTGTAGAGGGACAGGCCCGACTTAACCTTAGGTCGGGCATGTCCCCCGACAGGGGGATTTTGGACGAAAAACCAAGAATACAACAAGGATGTTCCAACATATTCGAAAATGATAAAGAAATCGTCACCATACTATTTTTTGACTATTGTTGGATATCCCTCCTGTAAAGGGACTGGCCCGACTTGACCCTCTCGTTGCTCCTGATCCCTCCCTGCCCCGAGCGCCCGTGTTTCGGCTGAGTCCGCCGCAGCTGTCCGCCAGTGCCAGCCTGGGAGGGGGGGGGGGCAGGCGGCTGGCCGGCCAGCCGAGCTCGGCAGGCGCGGAACACGCCGTTATCCCGTCGAGGACCTCTCTGTGGAAGAACCACGTCGTGGCTATCAAGGATCGAGAATCGAGGAATTTGGTAATTTCAAGGCCGCGCTAACGGCGATGTTGGTTCACGGCGATCTTGGGAATCTGATGTTTGTGACAACGAGCTCGCGCAGAACAACTTGCAGGAAATCACGAACCACCGTTTCCTACATTTCATATGTGCGAATGTATCGAGCGAGAACTACGCAGCGAGCTGTAGGAAAGCACAGCACGAGCCGCGCGTTCCTACAATTTGTTTGGCCACGAACAGCGCCTTCCTGCAATCGGTTTTCCTACTCCGCCGTTAGCTAACACACTTTAGCGCGTCTACGGTGATGTTTGCTTTGGCTTATTGAAGGGGCTCCAGGACACACAAATAAATACACACAAATAAAAATATTCCCCATATTTTCCTATATTTTCTGGGTTTCTGTCTTCCCCCCCACTTCCCATATTTTCGCATATTTTCTGGGAAATCGAGGATGAATTGTGTCTGTGTGTTTTTCCTCTCCTGGCTTATTCCCCTCAAAATCCAAGCCACAGCGCGCTCAGGTCCGGGGGTCGGCGTTCGGCCCGCAGACCCGGGCTCCCTCGCGTCATGTGAAAACTCATGACGGGAGGAGGAGGAGGAGGAGGAGGAGGAGGAGGAGGAGGAGGAGGAGGAGGAGGACTGGCAGTGCTCGGCCTCTGGGAGCCTTCACTGGCATGAGACCCGCAGTCGGCCAACACAAACAGAACATCTCGGGGCACCGCACAAGAACATCCGACAACACCGAAGAGCACTGGGGCACCCTCTCCGAACCGACCTCGATCTTCTACCTCGGTCCGACTGTACTGAGGATGAGAAGCCATCCACGAGAAGAGCGAGCACTCGGCTGGTCCAAGTTGTAACAAAACCCTGATCGGGCAAGAACGGAAACGCCGATGTTGTCCATGGGGCTCGTATGGGGAAAAGAAGACAAAGGAGGATGGCGACGAGAAGGCGGTTGATGTCGAGGATGGCAGCGTGGATGGCGGGGAGGGCAGCGAGGGGCGCAGAAAGACAACGAGCAAAAACAACTGATCGGGCAAGAACGGGAAGCGCCCAGTTTGTCCATTGGGCTCGTGGGGAGGACAAGAAGAACAGGATGATGGCGACGACAAGGCGGCGGATGTCGAGGATAGCAGCGTGGATGATGGGAAGGGCAGCGAGGGGAGCATAAAGACAACGAGTACCAAACATACACTTGCTTCATACAAAACGATCCACGCCAGAGGCGCTTCCCGTCATCCCCCACCGTGCCTCTGGGCACGGAGTGGGCGTGTTCGGAGGTCCATTGCCTAATCCCTGCAGACTCAGTCCTCAGTCCTGAGGAATCTCTTTTAACGAGCGAAGAACGGTGTAATAGAAACTTTTTCGCTGTCGGGGGCGCCTGTCCCAGGGCGGCTGCAAAGTTTATACCCTTACGGTGGATCCGTAGGGGTATAAACTTTCCAGCCGCCCAGGGACAAGCGCCTCCGACAGCGAAAACGTTTATTTTACACCGTTCTTCGTTCGCTGACTTTCAAGGGCCGGGACCCCACACTCCGAAATCTCCAGGGCTTCCCGCGTGCCCCCTTGGGCTCTGGGAGGCGCTCTCGTGTAGCTTTCTCGGTCGGGCCCGGGAGGGCCCGAAGACGGACCACGGGGGGCCCCACGGGGCCTCCAAGACGTCTCGAAGAGGGCCTCGAGTCGCCGAAAGATCGTTCTAAGACGCCCAAGATGACCTCAAGATGGCCCAAGAGGCCTCCAAGGCAACCCCAGGAGGCCTCCCAAGAGGCCTCCCAAGAGGGCCCCAAGAGGCCAAAATCATTGATTATCCGTCGGTGTTTGAAGGACTTTGGCGTTCTCGCCTTTTCAACTTTCCGACGCTCCAAGACGGCCCAAGAGGCCCCCTGGACCATCCCCAAACTGTCAAAGAGGCAAGACGGCCTAAGCGCGCCCCAAGACGGCCCAAGAGGCACCGGAGACGGTCCAAGAGAGCCCCAAGACGGCTCGAAAAAGGGCCCAAGAGAAGGAACACGAACCGAAAATCCGAGCCTTCCGCCCCAACATGGCCCCAAGAAGGAACAATCATTGATTTTACTTCGGTTGTTATCGGATTTTGGCGTTCTGGCCTTTTCGGCCAGATTCGACATAATCAAAATTAGAAGAAATTGCGCGGGCTTCCGAACATGGATGAGCCGGCGCTGGTACTGAATCTGGCCTCCCAAGAGTTGCATCCTGAAGCGCTGGACCAATCCCTGGGAGCATGGGGAAATCCCGCCTTCAGGGTCGGCGGCACCGGCCGGAAGGCCTTCACAATCTGGCCTCCCAAGAGTTGCATCCTAAAGCGCTGGACCAATCTCTGGGAGCCGCTTTCAGGGTCGGCGGCACCAGCCGTAAGTAACAGGGGATATGTCGATCCCTATCACAGGCTTTGG